CACGCCTGTTTTCTGTGTGGTCGTGGTATTACACCGGGCGAGCCGGCCCATTCGTGCGAAGATGTTAAAGCGGGCACTACCACTGTTAAAACAATACATTATCTTTAAACTGTCTTGGTTTTTACCAATTTAATGTTCGTAAGATACGGAATTCCTACCAGGGAGCTAAAACAACCTAATCGTGGTAAGAAACCCGTATCTTACGAACATTTTACTAGCTAACAATATAGTCGACTAAACTGTCGATTCTCTAAGATGGGCAGATAACACCACGCATTTGCGACGCCCATATTAAAACAGTGTCGCATGTCGTTCCGGTACAGAAAACAAAGTTACGTTTGTTTGACGTTTAAGTTGACAGTGCACTGTTGAAGTTGACATGAAAACTCTTTCATGAAAAAAGAAGAAAAAACATATACATTGACACTTGTAAAGTGACGTGAAAAAAAAATTAATTAAGAAAAAATGTAATATGTCATAAATATCTGTCGTGTAGTATAAAATTAAATAAACTGTGTTATATATCTCTGCTTTCAATATTTCAATTATATTATGCACAAATGAGAAAAAAATCTAAAGTAGATTTAGTTACAAGAGTTGTCTATTTTAGAGAAAATAATACATACCGTATCCTAACTGCCAGTAAATATCACCGACTTTCACCTTTTCAGCAACAGTCAATGTATCCAAAGCAGAATTGGGATCCCACATTCCAGACGACATTTTAATTTGATTGTTTAGAGCAAAAACTAAATCGAAACCGATCTTTTTTGTCCAATGTACGAACTTGGCCCATTGTTTGTGACTCACTGATTGTTCATTCATTCGTTCCTTTTGTGAATTTAGTGAATGATAATTATTTGTATAGTCTTTATTAATAGTAATTGTTGTGTTGGTGAACGTGATATGCGAAGTGGAAGGTCCAGCTATACGGAGATATGCTGGAGTTAATGAAGACGCCATACAGAAACAGTGTTTACTGAAAACAAAACAAAATCATTATTACGAAAGCAATGACTATCTCATTAACTTGTCCTGATCTTTACGGAGGGTCGGCACAGTATGTGCTGCTCTTCCATACATTTCCATCAGCCGTCATATCTGAATCTACTCCTTTCTTAAACATATCCTCTTTCACACAATCCATCCATACTTTCTTCGGTCTTCCTTTACCTTTGTTGTCATCCACATTCAATCTTAACACTTTCTGGTTTATGTTACTTTTGCATCTAAAATTCTCCGCCACTGGCGCTACTTTCAAACTTCCTCCAATATAGACATTCTTAACTTTACCTTTGTTAAAAACAAATGACTATCTATAATGATTACATTGTTTATTTTCTAATAAAATAATTAATAGGTACGTAAGTAACATTAGTCAACTTTTAACATTTAACAAATAGACAATGTACTCAAATAAAATTAAAAAAACTTACTTGTCATATTTCTCACTGGAACCGAATAGATATTTGGGATCGACTGTGAAACTTAAGAATTTCGTGTCAATCAAATTAACGTGCTCCTCCGTGTCTATCTTAACATTATAAATATAGCAACTACATTGAGATAATAATGAAAATATTTTAATAATTATTACGTACTTTTTTATAATATCCATGAAGACAAATTGTCACTCATGTATCATTAGAGAACTTATTAAAAATGTAATAAAATCGATACATGCGCGTTAATATTAACTTTAAATCGACAAGGTCAATTGTGCTGCCGGCTATTTCTAAAACAAGGCATTTCATGAAATATTCTGATATCATCTTTACTTGTACACTCTGTTTCCGTAGTCCAAAAAATAATTATTCTCAAGACAAACATGACTCATGACTTATGATTTCTTTTAAACGACGTATTTATCTGGAAATGGCTCTTGACATGGCTTAGAAACGTTACAAAATCTCATATCTTACTGCCTACTCTTACGTAATTTTACTATTCCGGCACTTTACCGTTTGTTTATATCGTAACTTTGACTGTGACATGCTTCTAATTTTGCTGTCGATGCAAATACAACACTTCCTCGTTGTCGTTTGTGAACTAAATAAGTAAGTATTAATTAAAACAATGTTTTGTGTTTACCGCAATTAAATCACGTCTTGCTATTGTCAGCATTTCAATGCACTGGCTGGAAATACTTTTGTATAAAAAAGAAGCCTTTTTTACTCCTATTTTTTAACAATTTCTACATCTCAGACTCCACAATCGGATATTTCGTTTATGTTTCAAGGTATCATAAAGTGGTTGGTATGTGTTTCAAATGAGCTTGTGCATGAATGACATCGTTGACACAATTCACAACATGCAATTATTGATCTGTTCTTAAATCTACATAAAAATATACTTTTTCGCAGCTACGTTTTAATAACTAAAACACCCAGTTTTAATTATTTGCAATTTAGCTTTCGATCTCGTATTCTGGTATTGCCATCCAGGGAAAGTTCAAAACAAAACGTCAAAAAAACAGCATAATATTTGTTGCGGCAACATCGTTCTGACATTTTGACATTAGTCATCAATACAATGTGTATCATTCGCCCTTTTATTTATCATTTATTTTAGTGAATTATCGCGTTATCTGGCCTTACCAACAGTCTTCGTAAATCGTACATCAAAAGTTAATCACTTTCATGTATCACACGATGCATGAATCAAATACGATGCTAAAAATCAAACTTTTTAACATTCCTTTATTAGTTTGTCCATAGTTTATCGTTAAAATGGACAATAGTGGTGATAGTGGTAAAACTGTAGAAGATTCTACCTCTCAGAAGAAAGAGCCCACTGTAAATCTACAGAAAATTTGTCTCGTATGCGGTGATAAGGCGTTGGGTTACAACTTTAATGCAATATCGTGCGAGAGTTGCAAAGCATTTTTTAGACGTAATGCATTAGCTACTAAGGAGTTTAAATGTCCTTTTTCTAATAACTGTGAGATTAACGTAGTAACGCGTCGTTTCTGTCAGAAATGTCGATTGGAGAAATGCTTAGCGATAGGTATGGTGAAAGAATTTATAATGTCAGACGAAGATAAAGCGGAGAAGAGAAGAAAAATAGAAGAAAACAGGGCGAAGAAGCGTCAGATTAGTGACCCTGAGGATGCTGTAACGAGTTCAAAGAACTTCAAACGTGATGAAGAGAGTGTTTCTAATAATACACACTATGGTAGTTTAGTGCCGGACCCAACTGTAGTACAGTATGATGTTCTAAACAGTACAACATGTAGTCCGAACAGTACAGTACAGTCTCCATTGAATAATGATTTAGATAATTCAATAAGCTCTCCCCCTGTATATCACCAATATGTCCCAGTACAAAGTACAGAAGTGCCGTATGCAATGAAAGTGTACCCTATCGATGAGAAGACTGTTATAAACCGTGGATTTTATGAGCAAACAAATGTGGACCCATATGTGTGTGATAGTGTAGAATCAATGTACCCAGATCCTCCTAAACAAAATAGCATAAGGTCAGTTTAATTACAATATCAAGGGTAAAAAAGGGGTTTAAACAACACAATTTCAATACATACATAAAAATACATATTCAATTGCGGATGTTTATGGGCAGCGGTCATTTTATTTTTTTGACAAGTACGGGCTGGCTACCTGCTCATTTGTTTGCCACTTTACTAAATAAAAAGAAGAAATTGTTTTTACACAATTTATTATGTAGGTTATTTTTGTGAACATACTGATGTTAATTTTAGCAGTATAATGATACTTCAGAATGTAATGTAGAATCTTTATTAAATTTGTATTTTGTCCAATCACAAAGTACTATTTTATATTTAATCTAGATTATTGATAGTCTTATGCAAGACTCTATAATAATACGATAGATAGTTCCATAGTAAGTAATATGTTTGTTGGCAGTCTATAAAATGTACATTAAATAACTTCAGATCAATATTGACAAATGGAGAAGCAGCAATGTACCAAAAAGAAGTAAATCCGCAACATGTTTGTGAAGAGATCCCATCGACCAGCACCAACCCTGATGTCAACAAAGCGAGAGATATACTACAAGATGTTGAAAGGTAGATACCATAAATGATACTATCTGTTATCCGCAAATTTACTTGGAAATAATCCATAAGTAATAAAATTCTTGAACTTTCTAGAGTAACTAGCTTAAACCAAGTACTCTCCTGGAGTGACATATTTAAAAAAAAACATAAGTGAGTAGTTTGTGTCCTTCTGGACTATCCTCTACATCTAAGCCAAATTTCAACAAACCTTCAGCTGTTAAGATGGCATACTAATAAACATCCATCAAACTAAATTTACATATATTAGTAAGATTAGGTGAAAAACTAAAATAAAAAAGGAAACACTTATACCAAAATTCCTTCATATTTATTCTTGTCGTTAATTTTGTGTCTAGTTTTATGATGCTTGGATATTTAAAAAGGTGTGTCAGTTTGAACATGTTTATGAGATAATTATTAGATTAGATATATCTGTTATGTTGTAAATTAGGTGACTAACATGTAAGGTAATAAATATTAGTCAATATTGCTTTCTCATTTTTTAAGTCTTTTAAATACAATTTGCAATATATTAATTCCGACTCGCACAGTGCGATACTACGACCATACAGAAAAATTGTGCCAAATGGAAGTCATTCTGTATTATCCTGTTGTCCTGTTCCTCTTCTAATCATTACAGACAGAGGAATGTCAAGAGTAGATGGGTTTGTTAGAATAGTATATAGGATGCCATGTAGGGTAATATCCTATTTCTGTGCATCCCTTTCTCTGTTTATTAACTGCAACACGTCAAATGTGGATGATTTCGTTTTTTTCGACGCAGATGGAGACATAAAGCTATATAAATAAATATTCTGTTTACAGGATAGAACCTAATTCAATGGAATCAATACTCTGTGAAGCAATAAAATTGGAGTTTGAAGCTTATTCATCTGTCAATTCCTGCAGTGGCTCGTCTCGGGAACTTAATGAGGTATATACCAATGTATACATTTCAATACTAATATTATATAGGGGAAGATTGAAAAACTATTGAATTTAGAAAATTATTTTATTACTAAGTTAAGCTATATTTATTGTTTTTTTAATCCCTCATGCACAAAGTTGCGAGTAAAAGCTGGTTTTACATAACATTAAAAAAAACTATATTATAAGGTATAAGGCACATTTAAGAGATAAAATTGATTGTTTCTGAATATACTTTAGTCATTACTTCCAACAAATGACGTCAGTTAAAATCTATTTCAATAATTATAATAACATCCTCATATTCCATTCAGTTTAATAAATTTTCCTTGTAAAGTATATTTTTGTTACATTGATGATTTACAATACCTCAAAATACACAATATTTAATTCAATATTTTAACTAACCGCAGCTGTACGTCAACATGGGTTTTACCATAAATATGTACAATGCTTTTTATATAAAAACTTTATTTAATCGTAAGGACATTCACTAAAATTGTTTTGCTAAAATCAATAATGCTGGGTTGCTAAATCCCATTTTATTATTACCTACTAACTCAGTGTTAGATTAACCTAAATTACAACAAAGTAAAACTCAAGTTACATACTTCAGAAACGCATTTCTTTAATTTATCCAACCAATAACACTAACAAATGGATAAATAGCTGGTAAACCGACTTGTTCAAAGGAATATTGTCTTTATTACTATAGGTGGAGCGTGCAAAGTTGAATGAACTGATAGTAGCCAATAAAGCTCTTCACGCGCCTATAGATGATGATATATCTCAGTTGATAGGAGACACTGCAGCTACTGCGGGACTCGAGGTATGCTGTTATAACCCTTATTTCATAGATGTTAAAGATTATTTTCACTTGTCTATCACTGATCTATATAAATAGACAGGTTATGATACAAAGTATTT